ATCGAATCTATATTCAAAGGGAATTTCGGTAATTAATTGGTGATGCAGGGATTATTAATACAAACTAATATTAGAAAGTATGTATAATCTGTAAGAGTGTATAATAATAACGATGCATGAAGAGCTGTTAATTATGCTGTAATAGCTAGGTCAAATCGATATTTATATGCATTTGATAAAGTCGAATGTGAAAAGTAAAGAAAAATAATTGCCTTTGAACGTGCGTCCCGTGTCCCTGTGAGCGTTGATTACTAAGTGTTTACCATCAGGGTTGGGTCTTTTAGTGACAAATTAATCTGCGAGACTCGCATAGTTTGAAGACTCAAATACTTTCTTTTCGTCTTTAGAAATTCCTGTGCCCTTTCATAGTAATATTCAACTATGACAGCAGATTTCGAAAACTGCCTGAAATCATATTTTTATCAAAAGATTACTGATTTAAAACTCTGAAACTCATCTGATTCAAAATTCTGACATCGTTTTCTATCTATTTATAAAGTTCATGAAAGCTAATGCAAAATAACTAATCTGATCATACTAATTACACATGTAATACCATTTGCCATAGCATAGGGTTGTTAACTTCTGAACTTTACATGTAAGTTTACTGTAACTTACATTTAGCTTACAATTACTTACGTTTTACAGTAATTTACATGCAAGTTATATGTAAGTTACTGTAACTTACATGTAATTTACTATGTAAATTAAATTGTCAGGTAAGTTTTAACAACCCTACCATAGCATAAAATATTCAATTCTGGCTAAAATTAAATGACCAATATCGATATTGATATGGTTAAATAGAACCATTATAATCTTCTATGACGGATACAGATATCAGACCGTAGCGGTAGAATTTGTGATTCAGATCTGCATGATTCTGTTTACATACGCACGTACTGTACGTACGTACGCACGTATATCATATCTGATATAAATCAAGTCTTACAACAAGTACTTTAAACTTGAACTTAAATAAGTTTAAGAGGAAATGATGAGCAGCAAACGGTAAAAAAATAGTGTAAAGAAACTGTAAGTCACTTTATGCTTAATAAAGAAAGCAAATTATATTCAACCGATCTGAAAACTGTATTTTATGTATACCCAAATATACATAGTTATAAAATTCATCGCTAATTAAATTGCTAATTGTTATATTATTGGTTTTAATCGTGCACGAACACATTAGATAATTTAAAGAGGAATCTTTTATGAACGAAATTTTATTATCTGCTTTACATCAAATACTATTTGAATGAACTTTAAGCTTAGGACAAACTATAAAAGAACCGAATGCTTCTCGAAGTCGTACAGGAGGATTTTATAATCAGGATAATGCAAATGAAGTTGGGTTTCTAGTTTAATATTGGAGTGTCGAGGTTGAAAAAGTCTGTATTAGATATTCATTGCGACGCGAGCCTTGTTTCTAACAAATTATTTACAAAATTAATATTTTCTTGCTGCTCTAATCTGGTTTTAATTAGTTCTAAAACAAATTCCTTAGTGAACTCATTGGTTATTATTACTGCCCTGTTAATTACTGCAAAAGAAGTAGCGGTGTTAGACATTTTTTCATTCTGATTCCTATTGAGAACAGCCAGGACAGCGCTAGTTAAACCAAGAAACTTAACAAGCCGGCTGTAAGATAACCATTTTCTTACAGTATCCAAATTTTCTTTTTCTTTCTCCCAGTAGTTGATGAGTTGATTAAAATTCTTATTAAAATTTCCATGAAAATGAGGAGAAAAAAAATCATCAATAACGTTGGAATTAAAATATGGAAACCGAAACCAAAACGTTACTATTATATGGTATTAAAGAATTCAAAAAAAATTCATATAGAGCAAAGGAAAAACTCGAAATAAATAAAATCACGCAAAGGGTAAAAAGCAAAGAATACAAATTATTTTCCAATAGTCTACCCACTGCCCTCTGTTGTTATTAAATTTCTCATATTCTGAA